GTATTTATTATAATACTAGTGAATTATTAAACTATGTATATATATATAGCTATAATATACTTATAAATAACTATACGTTTACCTATATTTGTTATTAATATATGTGCTATATTATATATTTTGCAGCCGCTGTCTATATGCCGGATATCAAATTCATATCGTCAATCCAATGCAATGATTAGAAAACTGAGCAATGAGTAAAAAATAAATGTGAAAATTTATTCAAGTTTTTTTTACTAAATACTCGGAGAAGATAATAAGCAACAGCCAAAAAGAAAAAAGAAAACAAAACAAATACAAATAAAACAAAAACAAAAGAGAAATCAAGGCCAGCCGCAATTTAGCTAGAAACGTAGTAAAAATAAAAAAATAAAAGCAAACAAAAAAATCCTAAAAAAAAAAAATATATATATATACAAGATTATATACAGCAAGGCAATAATAATTAATGAATTAACAACTAATAAGCGATACAAAATTAATATAATTAACTAAATTACGTTTGACTAGCCGAACAGCAACAAATAGCAAAGCAAGAATACAAAACGTTTAACAATAATTAGCATTAAATGGTTAACAAGACGAGAATTATTAAATTAATACTAGTTACAAATTGAAATAGTAAATTTAACATTAAAGCTACGAAATAATAAATTAAATAAATAAATTTAAAAAAAAAAACCCAATTTACGCCATTGTGATTCTTAATTTTAGACATTATGTGACAAAACAACAACAACAACAACAAAATATAATTATTAAATAAATAATAAATTTTTAATTAAAAATGCAAAAATTACGAAAGCTTTAAAACAACAAAACGAAACCGAAGCAGCCACAAAGGATAAATCGAGCCAAAAAATAGCAAACAAAAAATTAAATTTAAAAAAAATAAAATAAAACAAACCATACAAAAATAAAAGCTAAATGACCAAAAACCGCAAAACTTGAAGAGCTATAGAAACACATGTATATATATAGTATATATATATATATATAAATGAACCAAGAAAGGCAAAATTCCAGTTAGGCAAATTAGAAAATTCAGCAAATTATAAGCCAAGAACGCAGAACGCAACGCCAGCCGCCCACAACAACAACAACAACAACACCAACAAGCAACAACAATTAAATAAGCCAAGGAACAACACAATAGCAAACTGAGCCACAATAAACTCTGAGCTAAATTCCATCCAAGATATCAAATTGTTGCGGGCCATAAAATTATGTGCGCCTCCTAAGGGTATGCAACAGAAATTTTAATGCTGCTGCTGTCAGCAACCACAGCAGCAACGCTTCTCCCTTCAATTTTCGAGTCTGTCTGAGAACAAAAAACACTCTAGCACAACATAATTGAAAATTTTTAATAGAAAAGTTAAAACCAAAAACAAAAAAAAAACAAAAAACAAAAAAAAATAATACTAAATCCAAAAAGAAAGCCAACAACAAAACATCCTTGAATCTATGCAATTATCGTCGCGTTCGTCAGGTTTCTAAGGCCCGGTTAAATCGCCGTTCGTTTTGAGCTAAAGCTGTCACAGCCCATACCACGCACCAAACGCCAAGATGACGATGTGGCAGAGTGGCGGCATGGGAGGCCATGGCTCCCAGAACAATCCATGGATGAAGCTGATGGGCATCGTGCACAAGGAGCGACGGCACACGGACAATGTGCAAAGCCAGAGCGGCTCCAACGAGCGCAACTTGAATCAGTGAGTACAGCTTAGATTGCCTCAATTGTTATCGATAGTTTCGTGTATCTTTGCGCCATTGCGAATTGCAATTTTAATGCTCGCTCACGCAAGTGCAATGAGTATATTGGTTTTGTGCAAATTCTTGACCTTAAACTTTGAATATATGTACATATGAGGGCCGGATTGACCCTTAACGGGCCCCTAGGCAACTCTCAATTTGGGGGTCCCTTTTTCACTTCCATTCACTTCTTTTACTCGACTGAAATACAAACTTATATTTTGCATACAACATTTTTGGTCACAATGTAATAATATCTCTAACTGCATTTTAAGCACGTCGTTTTCTACACTTGCTTTCGGGAAATGCATTAATTATATCATGAATACTCATTTTATTCAATCAATCTGACTCCATTCTAAGTATACCTAAAATGTCCAGTTGTTCGGCAGAACAATTTGTGGTCATTAATGCTATTCAAAATCTGAAGAGCTACATATTTCTGTGCTAGTAAATACGCAAACTAGCTAATCCATATTCCATATGAGAATACTAAATGACTATGAGTTTTTCATGGAACAGTGTTGTGATTCTGTTAATTTTTTCGCGCTCTATGGAATTTAATAGTCTTTCATTTTCCTATTGCTTATTCTGTATACATGATAATCCAACCCTTGTCTGAACGGTTTTAAGGTGTCCCTGATATGCGGTCAAGAGGCGTGGGAGATCGGAAAAATATATCTTGTATATCAGGAAAACTGTTTCTTAAGCTTTTAGAGACATGATATTTAGCATATACATATATAATCGTGTTGAAACCCTAATATCAAAAAGATATGCTGGCTGAGTCTACGTGTGGAAATTAGAGTAAAACTATATAAATTGCAGATATAAAACTACATCCCCAACATTTGGCATGTGAGTTACTGTAAAAATCCTTGCAGATCATTGTGTTGACTGGCTTATATGGGCTGTAAGGTTCAGCCTTAAATCAAGATAATGTTATTGAAATTAGCAGCAGTCAGCTGTCATGTATATAGGGCATTTCTGTATTACGAACAAAGTCTAACTATCCATCTAACTTCGGGCTAGCTGCGTTTCTTTAGGAAGAGAGGAAAACAATTTCGAAAATTTAAATTGCGTTTTCGAGCAGAGTGAAAAAGGCAAATCATAAAGAGCGGAAAAAATGCTGACTGAAGACAAAAATGTCTAAGCTGCCATGTAAGAGGCATCTCCCGTCCCCTCCTCCTCCTCCTCCTCCTCCTCTTCCTTCTCCTCTTCCTCCTGGCACCTCCTCCCAGCTTGCGCTGATAAGCAACATTTCGCATAGCTGGACGTCCATGGGCAAGCAAACTTTTTACGTGCAGGCACGCACTCGACACTCTGCTTGCTGTGAGCGGAGGCATGCAACATTGTGTCTTGGTGCGTGAATATGCATACGAATGTGTGGGGGCTTCGAGTGAGTAGTCGTAAAACATGCGGCAATTGCGCAATTAAATGGCCAAATCTGTCGCACTCGCTCTGACTCTGGCTCTGATTCTGGCTCACTCTCGCTCTCTCTCTCTCTCTCTCTCTTTCTCTCTCTCACTCTGTCTCTTCTGCTTATTGTTAATGAAAAGCAATGGGTCTACATGGTGCAGTACATTGAATTGTAACTGCGCCGCACTCTCTCGCAGACACAAATCAACGCAACTGTCCGGCCACCTGGCTGCACCACAGCAGCACCAGTGCACCACAGCAGCGGCGCTGCGGCTCTTTGGGCTTTTAAAATTGGCTATAAATGCGCTGAAGCATAAATGGATTTACGTACATGCTGCTCGCTGCTGCAATCCATTTCCATTTCCATGTTGCATGCAGCAACATGCTGCCATTATGCCACGCCCAGCCCACGCCCAGCCCACGCCCGCACCACCATATTGACGCTGGGCAAATGGCTTGCCGTGCGCTGCTCTGCGTTCGCTTATTGTGCTCAATATTTAATGCAAACAGGTGGGAAAGGTCAAACGACTATTGCATACCCTTGCAGAGCTAAAGCTAATGGGGACTGGATCTACGTATATAGTAGTAGGAGTAGTGTGATATCTATATGTTGTATATACCCTTTCAGAGCTTAAGCTAATGGCAACTAGATATACATCATAGTGCGGAGTGATATATAGATTTATATCTGCTTCAGGTCTGGGTGTAGCTATACAAGCAGAGCGATTGCAGTTGGATAGCTGATTGGTCCCAAATATGTAGGGTATCTGTACGTCCAGCTCTGCTTCGTTTCGTTGTAGTACACAGTTAATCACAATATTTCTATAGCATCGCCATGAGCATACAATGCAGCCTTTTAAAATTTTAAAGCCCGTCTTGTTTTCCTTGGAAAGTCAATATTGTTTGTCTCATTCCTGAATGATTTGTCCTATTTGCATTTTCATTTTCGATATCGTTTTCATTGGATTTCCCCAACTGACCCAATGGATTTGACAGATTAAACAGAGACTTTGAAGACTTTCCGCGTCTTTAATCTCTATCATCTTCATGCTTCAGCGTGTTTCATTTCCAGTATTTTTAAGTCAATGTAAAGTCGAATTCGAAATGGGCTCACCACCTACATAACTCTGATAATGTTTCATTTACATACATTATGTACCATACAAATACCTAGATGTGTTTCAATTCCAATCGTTTCAATGTAACGTATAAGTACCAATATCGGTCTGACTTCCAGGTAATTCCATCGCTTATAGTGCATAAGTCGCTTAATCTGTTAGTACTTCAGCGTGTTTCATTCTCAGTTGTTTCATTCTTGAAATAGATTGAAATAAATTTCCAGCAATTTCAATCAAAATTCAATTCAATTTCATTATCAAAATCATATTGCAATTGCCTATATCGCATATTTAAATGTGTTTCATTTCCATTTGTTTCAACGTATGGTATCCACAAAACCGAAATACAAATTACATCATTTAAACTGAATAGCGTAAATATTTGTATGCCTGTTTCTTTAACATTTGCTTTCGACATAGAAATCGCGAAACCAACAATCAGAATCTTTATAGCTCTACTTAGGCATATAACATTCTCAATGTCTGTTTCATTACCAGCTATTTCAATCAACTGTGCCTCCGGCTATCAACTGTAGACCAGGCGCATTAATGTGGCTAATGAAAAGTACTTGAAAACAAATGGAAAATGAGAATTTCGCTTATGTTTATGTTTGCATATATATTTTCCTGCTTTTCCTACATTTGTGAGTGTTTTAAGCTACCCTTGGGCAACTGCTGCTAGGGCAACCACTTGATTCGACTCGCTCAGAATGGGAAACTCTCGTTGCCAGAGCTTCACGGCGCTGGGAAGGCGACTCTCAGATTGAGTTTAGCTAAATGATATGAGTCCCGGCTCCGTACTTTCCGCCATTTGCAGTTGCCTCAGCTTCAATTGAGCTCTGCGGCACCATGATTTCAAATGAAGTGATAGCAAAAAAAGAAAAGTAGGTAAGATGAAAAGAAAAGTTGCAGAAGCAGAGATTCGTACTTACGTATGCATGGCAGCAGCAAAGGTGAAAGTGGTGTACTTAACGTAAGTATAAGTATGCTTTAAATGTGATTAGATCTTGAAATTAAAAGGGGCAACGCTCTTCACTTGATTGAAAAATTCAGTTCCTTTACTGCCTAAAGTCAATGGGAATCAAATGTTGATGGAAATACTTATGCAGAAGGCA